ACGAATCCCTCTTCCCATGATCCATCAACCGGAGCAAAATAATGCCCAGAGAGTACTTATATTCAAATGATATCAGGTTGATACCACAATGATTTTCACAAGACGTTCTTACTCCCTTTTTGAAGACTGGGATGACGGTCGACAAGCTCCATTCGGATGGTATTCTGATTTCGTTCGAAATATTCAGCAGTATGGTTACCAGACTGTTCACCAGGACCTTCCCATCTTCTTTGAAGAGCGCGGGGTGTAGACCATCCGGCTCAGGTGCCTCATTGCGCTTCAGGATTGAAATCTCACGCTGGATTTTGGTTGCTGATGGCGCAATGGTGTTAATGTTCTATTCGAGTCCGCTTCGTTCTTCCAGCGGTTGTGTTGAAGGAGACCAGCTGGATTGTTCTTTGAAGTGCTCAACCCACAGCTCAAGACGACGATTGAGAAAGCGAACTGCTATCCCGTCCTTTTCGCATATTTTTGCACTAACTTTTGACTAGCTGATTGAATAAGTTAAAACAGGGCGCGGCTGTTGCCTGCAGCGAAAACCTTCTCCATCTCCTGGGCCTTCGAAATCCGCCAGCGTTCTCTGTCATTCTTCAAGCTCCTGATTATCCTGTGTTTGAGGGATCTGCGTGCGCCGTGATAGTCGCTAGTTGCTGGTATGGCATTTCTGCCACCAATAAGATCTGCTGCTTTCGAAGATATCCAGTGTTCATTGAGTCGACTCAGGTGGGTTGGACAAACAGTTTTGAAGGCAGACAGCATCGCTTCTTTAACTCGCCTCCATACATCATCCAAGCAATATTCGTCGTCTACGTGACTGTGCGTTTCTCGTAGCTTCCTAGCCAGATCAGCTCCATACTCTTCAGCTACTGAAACTTGTCGAAGTTGATGAACCGAACTGCTCTCCTTTGGCAAACGCAACGCTACCGGAAAAAAATGCTAAGCGGGCCCGCATGGAGGCGGGGTCAGAATCAAGTTGCGTACCCCAAAATGAACGACAAACCTTAACTGAAGACCTCCATCGATAATTGATAGCATTCAAGTAACTCGGTGTATGCGTTTCTGCTGGAAATTCGTACCGGCCAGGAACAGACGATGACCTGCACACAACTGAAGAAGCCGCTCCCCATTATCCATAAGCCCAGCATCGGCTCCAAACCAACCACCTAACTGTGCTTCTTCTGGACATAGTCGCCCGACTTGAGCATTCCTATCACCCGCCAGGATTACTATATCTGTCCATCTTGCCGACCGAAGCAGCCGTGACAGACCTTGATAAAATTCGTCCTTCTCAGTCCCAGAACTGCTATCTGTTGGGGCATATGTTGGTACGACACACAAACACCGTTTACCGCATCGACCTGCGTTAATCTTAGTTGAGCCAGGAAGCCGCACAGAGCACAGGCGACTGTTTACTGGGATCCAGTCCAGTAAGCTGCTTTCAGACTTGGGGCTCAGTAGATACCACCAGCCATTGCGTCAGGATCACCGAATTCCCGAATAGCGAAATCTGGGCAAACATTTGAGCGAACATCTGGGCTCGTCCTAGGAGGCTTGAGGAGTACCAATGATGTGTGTCTGGTATGCGTGTTTCGGAGACACAACATACATCGACAAAGAGGGAAAGTAAGGTATCAACAAGGTATGTTTGTTGCCTAATCTGACAGAGAACGGGCATTAAAGGCTGCAGCGTGGATCAAATCGTTTGAGGTTAAAAGGTAATTATTTTGGTTCATTTTTATGGGCGATGGCTGAGACACGGAACAGTGACTAGGGGATTGGCAGATGGGTTGATTGCACTGCACTGGACGATGGGTTAGGAGAGAAAGAGGCGAAAGGCCGATGAGCGAAGAGCTGCAAGGGCAAATGATACTTCCCAGTTTCCCAGACCGAAAGGGAGCACCTCGAGCCTTCGACTCAAAAGTTTGGCCCATAAAGCAGAGGATATAGGATTTTGTTCGGGGACCCTGCCCCTAGCCTCTGACTCAAAAGTGTGGACAGCGAGACAGCGGTTGTTATGCTTTCCTAGGGAGACCCTTCCGGAATCAGTGACTCTGGTCAGACCCACTTGGCTGTAGGCGGCCGGCCTGGCCCAGACAGTAGGGTATTACTGTCTCACTCTGATGCGGCTGCGCACAGAAGTTGCCTTTTGAGCAACAACAGGCTCTTTAGAGTTCGGAAGTATTTCGACAGTATTGAATAATGCGCCGATGGTCACAGTCAACCGCTGGGCGATCGGAGTGTGTGGTTTTAGAGCTGACCTTTTCTAATCCGTCCTTTCTCGAGGGAAGGCAGCGTCGCTGCTGTCATAAATATGAACATACTGGTCGTGTGGAGGAAAAGCTTTACTACCTTCACACTCCTATCGCAGAGGACAGTACGACTTTACCTCCAGACCACTTCGTAATACGATTACTCGCAGTGCAAGAACTCGCCGTTCTTCGTTGGGCTGTTCCTAATGGCCTTCCTGGCGTGGTTGAACCTTTGAGAACTGAGTTCCAGCCAGTATAACCCGCAGGATCATTGTAGCACGGAAGCCCGACCACCACGAAAATATGACAGCTTTGGGTCGGGTGAAAGTGCTTAATTGCAAAGTTGAAGACCGTTGTAGAAGTACACAGGTCATGAAATAGCAATCCACTGTGGTTTTTATTCTGGTTGAGATAAAAAGGATAGATGCAGACGGACTGAATCATTGATCTTCAGGCCCGTTGTTCATGCTTGTGACCTAAACACATGTATCATGTGCGCAATACATATGTGGGTTTGATTTCAACTCAATTTAGCTAATGATCTGGTCACTACTAATGGTCGGATAGATTCCCATAAATCCTACCGTTTCTTGCAGGGCAATTGAAAATAGCAAGTCTGTCAGCTTGGAATTTTGTCAGTGATAAATACAAAGTAGAAGTGGTCAGCCCTGGACTAGAGATCCTTTTCTAAAAACGCTCACCTAAAGCTCATTTAAAAACAACCAGATATGTAATGTGTGTCGTATAGTAAAGATAAAAAATCTTATTTTGAAGGAAGCACGGTTCACATCAGCAAGTAGAAATAGAATGAAAATTCTTCAATTGCCGTATTCTTATCAGTCCAGGAATGGATCGCCTGAGTATCACTGTACTATCAACTGTCAAATGGAGCACTTATACTGTCTTGTACATACACTCCAGGATATTAAAAATAGGTGTACGTATTTACGTATTATATGTGCATGGGAGAAGCAGCCCGTATCTGTAATAACATACAAAACGGTTATTAGTTCGGTGAATAATAATCTGAAGGCCGCTGTTGTGGAGATCATCAAGCATGGAACTAAGGCTCTATCACCAAGTGTATCAATAACACGAATATGAAGGTCAACGGTGAAAGCAGCTCGAAGTTCTGTACTGGTAGCTAGTACGAGTAGTTGGTCAGCAGACAAGTAGAGGAAGAGAGTCTTAATAAAGTAATCCTAGAAGCACGTTTTTCGCTCGGCGATCCAGATGCTGAGAAAAGTAGGTGAGTTACGAAGTCAGAAAACAACATCATCGCCAGCCTTAAAACGATATGTATGTTCTGGCTGGATGGGGGGCGAGATGGCCCAAGCGGCTAGAGTGCAAACTCACTGACCGGAAGACCTGCGGTTAGAACCAGACCTCTGCCTCTCGACTTCCCCTGTCTAAGCTTGGGCAACCTGGCAGTATCCCAGCCCTCGTGCAACCTTCTGGTGCTTTGGCAGTTAGGCACCGGAAGGGCGCTACAGCTGAACGATGTATGTTCTGGATACTATAATTCCATTCACCAGTTTCTGAGGTCGCTATTGAAAATGATGATGGTTGTCAACAGGGAATCTGATGACAAGCTCGTAGACGTCCTATATTGGTCAATAGCTTTTAGGTCAGGAGCTTATATAAACCAGTTTGGCTTACTAATGCGCACGCTGATACAAGCGACAACGTCAATCATTCGAAATAACAGGATAGTGTACAGCATGACGTAGAAGCAAAACAGCATTCATAAAGGTAAGTCAACTCAAGAGCTTACTTGGAGTCCTTTAATGTCGATTGGTTTTTATTACTGTAGTACACAGATCCAATTTGGCACCCCTGGATATGAAATCCGTATTTAAAAAATACAGTCTTACAACAGTAATTTTCTCGGCATTTTGTGCATCCGTATGAACTACAGCCGGCAGGATGGCTGTCATTTTCGCTGAGCTGGTTCCTAAGGAAAAAGGAGCTGCCCATGAGTAGACATTCTGTTACAAGGACAAACTTGGAAACAGATCCATTAAGCTTCGTAGAAATATAGAGTGGATTACAGGTTACAGAGCACGAACTTCTGGAAATAAAAAGATGTGAAGCCTGATAAATCAATATAAAAAACACGCGGCGGTTTCCCTCTGTTCACACAGTTCAAGTCATGCAACTGTTTTGAAGTTGTTTATTTCATAGCTGTTATACGGCCAGACAGAAACAAGGCTGTCAGGACGCTGTCAAGTAAAACAAGGCAAAGCAATAAACAGAAAAGTCAGTGACTAAAGTGAGCGATAAGGCACTAGCAGGCTCCATCTCATTTGGCTCCCGTTACGTTATTAGTGCACAGGTAATG